GAGTGTACTCACTTTTTTAACACAAACTGAACTTTATGAAAACAACGTGAGTTACCAAATTTTACATTTTTATGATTTTTTTTTTAATATTTACACTAAAATTATTTCAACTTTTTTCCCCGTTTTGTTCCCTAATTTTGAAATGTTTTTTAAAAAAAAAAATGTACAAACAAAATTATGAAACTGTAAAGGGTTTATTGTACAAAAATAAAATTCTAAACAGGGAAACCTCGGATTTTTGTATGCCCAAATTTTGTATGTAAACTACGTTATTCTCATAAAATGTATTTTTTTTTAAATTTTTTTGGGGTTCTGGAATGGATTAATTGAAAAACATTTTTCTTAGAGAAATTTGCTTCAGTTTTTTATGATTTGGGGTTTCGTCGGGCTTTTTTTGCGGATTTAAAGACGAAAACCCAAAATTCCACGTATAATTTTAAAATTGATGAGCCACGTTATTTTTTTTAACTGCATTTAGAACAAATGGGTTCACTATTTGGGTCATGAGTCAATATGAAGAGTGAGACAGGAAACTTACCTGCATAATTGACGAATGTTGTGAGTGAGTTTGGACCATGGATTATAGACCCAATGTTTTAAAAAATTTTAAGTTTTTGGAATATTTTCCTTCTTTCCACTAAAATTTAAATATTTTGACAAAAAACCATTATTTGCAGCAATTACCAAAATTTTTGTATATAGAAGTACATCTACAAAATCATTCTCTGTACTTGTCATACAGAACAATTTAATTTTTCAAAAGATTTTCATAAAAAACTAAAAAAATATCTACAAGTATCACAGAAAAATTATTTCACCCAAAAGCACTTAAGATAAGGGAAAAAATTTTTTTGACATTGTTTATACGGGACAACTTTAAAAAAAAAATTTTTCATAATGCACAAAGTTTAAAAAAAAGAAACATCTAAAAAAAAATACAAAATAATCCGAATAATGGCTGCGAGGACCTGCGACACTTGCGGCTGACAACACGTACCACCCCAAAAGGGAAAATAATACAGGAAGCTCATTCCACTGCGATGCGGCAATCACCAATGTGGAGAAATTTTTATCAGGCGGGAGTACCTGTCCCAAGCCACTGTCCCGAAAATATAATTTATCAAGTTAAGGAGCTCGTTACTTTTTAATTTTATTTTCAAACATCAGATTTATCCCACCAAGGGGGTAAAAGGGGTAACCTACCCCTTCCTCTTTGGGATTTTGTCGCCCCTTTTTTACATCGGGTTCGTAGAAAGGGTTCTGTTCCACTTCTCCATGGAGATACTTTCTAATTTTTTTTTTTTTTTTTTTTTGCATGATGGCCATTTCCCACAGAGGCAGGGTGACCCAAAAAAAGGAACACTTTCACAATCATTCACACTATCCCAGTCTTTCAGGGGGCACACAGACACGACAGTTTAGATGTCACTCTAAACAGTAAATATTCCAAACCCCTCCTTCAGAGTGCAGTCATTGTAATTCCCACCTCCAGGACTCAAGTCCGGCTAACTGGACACTGAACATGCATACAAAAAATATTTAATGGTAATGTTTTACTGAATTATAAAGGCCTACAGTGCTTGTCATTAGAATATGCCAGCCTCCTCTAAAACCACGACCACAAAACAGGTTGTTCACTACACTTTACGGCATCCTTCAACCAACTAGGAAGTGACTAACACACATTCTTCAGGATTTCATGGGGTAAATTTCCCCATGACTTGCAGATGGTGACTTCCAACTGTGGAGGTGGACTGATATCCTTTTCTTAGATTTCTCTCTATCACAGCCCAGAGATTCTCAATGAGGTTCAAGTCTTGGGAATTTCTTTACCGATCATCAAAGAAAGGCACAGTCACAAAGCCACTGACAAACAGATTTCACTGTGTGGCAAGGAGCACTGTACTGCATAATAATCACTGCACCACACTGCATGAAAGATTCAGGCAAATAATCACAGAGCAATTCTTGGCATGTTATTACTGTTAACATTAGAAGGAACATTTTTCTAGTCTTCTTTGAATATATTTTTGGTGTAGTGCATGTCATTAACATTGTCCTCAAGGAATCAATGCAACCAGGACCTCACTGAATGCTCACACACATAAATGGCTTCTATTTCCATCACTGATGGCCTGCCTTATATAATCCAATGATCTTTGCAATTCTCAACAAATTACTCATGCCCAAATTAATTCATCTATGGCCAAAAATGTTCAAAAAACTAGGCACTCAAGACCACATGGTCCAGGGAGACCATTAAAACAAATCCATCCACCACACAAGCTTAATATGCGAGACAATTCCCCAGTCAAAGACAGATAATTTTTTTTTCAACAAACCAGCCATATCCCACTGAGGCAGGATGACCTACAAAGAAAAATGACAGGTTCTCTTTTTAACCCTTAAACGGTCCAAACGTATATATACGTTCTCTCGTGTAGCGCCCCAAATTTTTTGAGAAAAAAAAAAAATCTTTTGTTTTTAATAGGATAAAAGAGCATATGGTACCCAGGCGTCCCCAATTTTTTTCATATGGTGCACAGTGAGTGCGCACACCCATTCTCTCATGTTTAGGTGACTCAGGCTTATCGTGCCAATGTTGAACGAATCACAAAGGAAATGTATATATACGTTTGGGGCGCTATGCGAGAGAACATATATATACGTTTGGACCATTTAAGGGTTAAATTTAGTAATAGAGATAATTATAATTACAGTAAGCTTTACAATCAATAGTAATGTTATACATTTAATTAATATACTTAAGCCATTTTACATTATTTTTTAAGAATATAACCACTGCACTTATAGGTAGTAGGTTGGTAAACAGCAACCGCCCAGGGAGGTACTACCGTCCTGCCTAGTGAGTGTAAAACGAAAGCCTGTAATTGTTTTACATGATGGTAGGATTGCTGGTGTCCTTTTTTCTGTCTCATAAACATGCGAGATTTCAGGTACGTCTTGCTACATACTTCTACTTACACTTAGGTCACACTACACATACATGCACAAGCATATATATACACACCCCTCCGGGTTTTCTTCTATTTTCTTTCTAGTTCTTGTTTATTTCCTCTTATCTCCATGGGAAAGTGGAACAGAATTCTTCCTCCGTAAGCCATGCGTGTTGTCAGAGGCGACTAAAATGCCGGGAGCAAGGGGCTAGTAACCCCTTCTCCTGTATACGTTGCTAAAGTTAAAAAGCGAAACTTTTGTTTTTCTTTTTGGGCCACCCTGCCTTGGTGGGATACGGCTGGTTTGTTGAAAAAAAAAATAAAACCACTGCACTTTAAAATTTAATACACTAATTAAAGATTAGCTTTCAGCATATTAAGGTGTAGGTTTACAATCAAGGTGTTTAAAAGTAAAGGAACCATGAGTGTAGATGCAACTATACAGTGGACCCCCGGTTAACGATATTTTTTCATTCCAGAAGTATGTTCAGGTGCCAGTACTGACCGAATTTGTTCCCATAAGGAATATTGAGAAGTAGATTAGTCCATTTCAGACCCCCAAACATACACGTACAAATGCACTTACATAAATACACTTACATAATTGGTCGCATTGGGAGGTGATCGTTATGCGGGGGTCCACTGTATTACCAGGTATACACCCCCAACTAAATGGTACTAACAATTATACATTCCAGCAAGTTTTGTAACCTGGCCACCATCAACAAACCAAGTACTGTAATGTATTTGTCCTTTAATTCTTTAATATAAAGAAAGAACACCCTGCATTATAAGAAAATCCCCACAGGGATGGTGTTTTCGAAGATAAAACGTTTTGTTAATTTCTGGGCCTTTGTGGTTTGCTGCTCTCCAAGGAGCAAAATTTCCACAAAATTTATCGTTACTTAAATGTTTCCCACAGGTAGTGAAATGCTAACAAAATTCCTAGCATACATTAAAACAGAAAATGCAGCTGTAGTATGATGTCCTTTGCCATAATTTAAAGACATGGGGAATAAAACTGCAAATTATGAAGACAGAAGGCCCTCTTTAGTACACAGGTGAAAAAAAAAAATGACACAAGACTATAAAAGGATACCGGGAAACCAGTATTCTCTTATAGTCTTGTGATTCCACCATGCTTTTGGCAAGACAGCAACTGAATGAATGATAGTGAATATTTTGCCTCTTTTTGGGTCACTAATTTGGTTGGATGTTGTGCAAACAAGAATAAAGACAGACACACACAGCAAAACAAGACTATTCAGACAATGTTCCACTCAATTTTTTTTCAAGTCACAATCTAAAAAAAGCTTGTTCGGCTATTTTGTCTTCACAGATAAGGATTTCTTGCCCTATCAAGGGAAGCTCCTTGATACCAGTGTGGGACTCTTGATCCTAGTGATTGGGCTAGTCCTCCCCTTTCTTGGACTGAACCTGACTGCCCTCCATTCCTCAGGTGTTGTGGCCCCCTACAGGTTTAGAGCTTTCCCCCTCAATATAATAACGGAAACAAGAGACCATAAATACAAACTATGGCCCACCCTTGTGGGTCTTTAGTTTTGTAAAGTAAAAGGACACAAGTGCAACTAATGTGACATTTTATTGTGGCAACGTTTCGCTCTCCAGGAGCTTTATCAAGCCGTTACAAACAATACATGCACACAGAGGGTATATAAAGGCTCAGAGTGAGGTGCAATACTAGTGAGGTACCATTTCGATGTTCACTAGTGGTAGTAGTAGTAGTGACAAAAGTAATACAATATGGTAGAGCAATTTTTACTCATGTACGAATTAATTGCTCTACCATATTGTATTACTTTTGTCACTACTACTACTACTACTACTTCTACTACTACTACTACTACTACCACTACCACTAGTGAACATCGAGTACCTCACTAGTATTGCACCTCACTCTGAGCCTTTATATACCCTCTGTGTGCATGTATTGTTTGTAACGGCTTGATAAAGCTCCTGGAGAGCGAAACGTTGCCACAATAAAATGTCACATTAGTTGAACTTGTGTCCTTTTACTTTACATATTGTCGGTAATTCTACCAACTTTATTACAGTCTTTAGTTCTCCTGTAGTGCTCCCCTTCCTTGGCCTGAGACCTACTCCATTACTTCTACTACAATACTAGTACTACTAGTATTGTCTCTTGTGCCACTTCCACTACTTCCCCTGCCTACTACCACCATTAATACTTCTACTACTTCTTCCACTCCAGTATTACCTCTACCACTATTTCTCCACTTCCTCTTTGCTTCCTCCTCTCTTTGTCCAATCCCTGCCCTCCTCTCATACATACTGGCTCCCTCACCTTCATGTGTTAGTGTGACTTGTTACTGATCCAGGTTGGACCAAAACATCATAAAGTTTCTTTCCCCTATGTACAGATTATTTGTGTAAACCAGCTCAGAAATTAGATTATAAAAATATTCTTTACAAAAACTGTAGTGGCAGATATTAGGAATGTGATTCAAGAGGTAGTGTTGCAGCCATGAAACCAAAACCTATATGATAAGCTAAAAAATGAAGAAAGGCCACAATAAGCATAACTATGTTCCTGTAATAACAAACAGGAAATCATATACAACAAAGCACACATTTCAATGAGCAAACTTTTTTCTTACCATGTGGTATAATTATTTGCTAAATAAAAGTTGTCGTTAGTCAAGCCAAATGAAACAACAGACTTGGCAGTTGTTCGCTTTCCCACCAACTCATCCCCAAATACTGCATATGACAAGGATTCTTTCAGGGGTTGAGAGATTTCCTTCAGTAGAGTAAAACTGCTATTGATGTTTGGGTTCGTGGCCACATTAACATCACGATCAGAACTGAGGTAGCTGACAGGTCGCCATTGCATGTACCCTCCTTGCTGGCCGTTCCGTGCCAGAGATGTCATGACCTCGTAGAGCTGTCAAATAATTATAAATGTTAAGAGGCAGAACTTGTAATTATGTTGTATGTGGCTACTCAGAAATAGGCAAAAATTAGCTAAGGGGTTCCATAATGTTGAACATTCAACATTCAATGGACAACTGTAATCATTTAACATACGTATTTTATTAACATTAACCTTAACCTTCAATGCTAAAAGATTATAAAACAAGCAGTAAAAAGTCATAAGTCAAATTTAGTCTGCTACCATCACCATTATTTATTAAGCCAGAATATTCTGGAAAATATTCATTAGGATATGGCCAAACTACCAATATTCATGGCTCAACACAATAAAATAGAGGGTGTAAATTTCACGATTATTCTTACATGGAAAACTCCTGGTGTGTTTTCATCGTCAAGAGACTTTCTGGCAGAAAGCTGAATACCTTCTTCACCATCTATTATTTCCTCTGAACTAAAGATAACAAGGTCCATAGCCCATCGTGCATTGGCAAACCCACTGATGTCTCCTGGCCCCTCGTCTTCCACATATAATCTAATTTCAAAGAATATAAATAACTCATAATATTTACAAAACAAATACTGCATATAAATAATAAATGTAAGCAAGCAAATGAACAGCAACATAAATTAAAAGTAAAAACTACCATCATCTTAAGATATAAATTTTTAATAGGAAATTTTTTTGTTTTGAACCAAAACTAACATAACAACATAACTGTATCTTTCTAAAATTTCCATGCAGGACTATAAAATAACTTAATTTTCCCAACCAAGCTAAGAATTTGCATAACTATATTACAATAACTGCTATATTACTGTACTTACAACACTAACAAATGTTCACGACTCATGAAATCATAACACGAACATAAATAACTCATGAAGTGAACAGGAATCAACTTTTGGCATGGCAGTCCTAAAATTACGAATTCAATGCTCTCATGGTGCAGGCAGAAGTTCTGATGGCAGTCCTAGGAACTCTTTTAGGCAATGTAATCTAATCTCTAGCATTACTTAAAACTAGCAAGAGATACTCCTGATATTTATGCTGCTCTCAAAGAGAAGCCCTAATCTTCCTAAGTTAACTTTCTCATCACACCAAGACCCTCCTCATCAACTCTAATACGAGACTCCCACAATGGATTCCACAAGGATCCCAATGGAAATAAGTCACTTTGTCTGACTTTTTTGGATTAACCTAGATACTCTACATATATGCTGCTATGTATGATAATTTATGTAAATGTGTTTATGTGTACCTGTACCTGAACCTGAATAAACTTAATGTCATGGGTGGGGAAGGCACTTCCATAAGATACTGAAGGCAGCTATCAGATACCAGAAGCTCTTAATGTCCTCTGATATCACATAAACATTTTGCAAGGCTCACATGAAGTCAACTGGGGAACAAAATGCAGATAATCAACACTACATACTTGTTATCGTCAGAAGTGAGATTAAGGTCCAGATGGTCGAGTATCATATCCATCTGGGCTGAGTCTGGGGTTGTCAGGAGATGAGGCAACAATGTGCTTCTTCCATCCTCTCCAAAAGCTGTTAACTACAAAAACAAAACACTTCTGACAGTATTATACAATAAAAGTGAGGAACCACTTGGACAAGAACAATAAACAAGTGAAAGGGATCTGTACATTTCAACCTCAGAGAACCATAGGTCAAAATATACAGATTTCTGTCACCACTGTTTATTTTTCCTTGACTAAATGGCATTTCACTTTCCTTTAATAAGGGTTTATGACAATTTATTCCAAGCATTATACAATATTTCATATTATTCATCGAATTAACAACAAACTACACTGTTTAACAAGTCACGCTAATATGAAATGATATTGATAAAGGAAACTCAAGCTATTTAGTGTCAATTAAAAAATTAAAGAATACAGAAAGGAATTTTCTATAATGAACAGCTTTATTTCAATATAAACCACAGTACGAGTGGAGGTTAGAACCCATGACAAGAGAATAGCAAAACTCCAGGCCAGTGCATAAACAACTGGGCCAGCTGGCTACAATAAGATTCATCCAACTAGGTATAGTTATACACCACAGGGAGGTAGGCATGGTCCCCATTGTGACCACAAATGCAACTTTTTACAGATGAATCTCCTGCCAGCATGGCCATGACAAACTCAAGCTCAAGTCCTCTCAAAACTGTCATCATGACTCATGAAATCATAATAACAATTGCAAGCAAACCACGGTATGGGTGGTGTTAGAACCTACTTCAAGTGAATTAAAAACTCCAGGCCAGTGTGTAAGGAACACCAACATACTCATTAACAGACCTACATGCTTATCACATAGCACACAAAAATACTTAAAAAACAAACCCAAACAATTCATAATCAGTACAAACATACTTATCATATAAATCAGTATTTATGCTTATAGCCCGAGAACTTTGTGCCAAAATACACTTTTCGTTTATACAGCAGGACCACCATATCCGCGGGGAAAATGTTCCAAGGACTTGCCGTGGATACCGAAGCTGTGGATTGTAGCAAACCCTAGGTATGTAAGTCCTATCCATTTTTTTTTTTCAATGAGTCGGCCATCTCCCACCGAGGCAGGGTGACCCAAAAAAGAAAGAAAATCCCGAAAAAGAAAATACTTTCATCATCATTCAACACTTTCACCTCACTCACACATAATCACTGTTTTTGCAGAGGCACTCAGAATACAACAGTTTAAAAGCACATACATATAAAGATACACAATATATCTTTCCAAACTGCCAATATCCCAAACCCCTCCTTTAAAGTACAGGCATTGTACTTCCCATTTCCAGGACTCAAGTCCGGCTATATAAAAATACTGTAACCAGTTTCCCTGAATCCCTTCAATAAATATTACCCTGCTCACACTCCAACAGCTCGTCATGTCCCAAATACCATTCGTCTCCATTCACTCTTATCTAACACGCTCACGCACACTTGCTGGAAGTCCAAGTCCTTCGCCCACAAAACCTCCTTTACCCCCTCCCTCCAAGTGGAGAATTATCACTTTTTCACTTGTGGGAAGCACTTCACGGCTTCTCTTAGGGTTTGAAGAACTGCCAGTATCTCTACCTTTGTGCTATGGGGACCATTATTATGCAAAATTAAGAGACATTTCTGGGCCACAGTAAACCATGGATAACTGAAACCACAAATTCCCACACCCGCCAGCATACTCCACCAATTTTCAAAAGTCTGAATCTGCTCACCATTAAGAAAATCCATACTTATTCATGTGCCCACTACATACACAGAACAATACACGCAAATATAAACTTCAGGATGTACGTGTTTATAGAGGGGCTACAGACATATCAGATCACTTTTTAGTTGTAGCTACACTGAGAGTAAAAGGTAGATGAGATACAAGGACAATAGAAGCATCAGGAAAGAGAGAGGTGAAGGTTTAAAAACTAAAAGAGGCAGTTAGGGTAAGATATAAACAGTTATTGAAGGATAGATGGGTTAATGAGAGCATAGGCAATGGGGTTGAAGAGGTATGAGGTAGGTTTAAAAATGTAGTGTTAAGAGTGTTCAGCAGAAGTTTGTGGTTACAGGAAAGTGGGTGCGGGGGGGAAGAGGAGCGATTGGTGGAATGATGATGTAAAGGAGTGCAAGGGAAAAAAGTTAGCATTTGAGAATTTTTTACAAGTAGAGTGATGCAAGGAGGGAAGAGTTATGGAGAAAAAGAGAGAGGTAAGAGTGGTGAAGCAATGAAAAAAGAGAGCAAGGGAAGAGGGGGTAGATGTTATCAAAAAATTTTTTTGAAAAAAGAAAAGTTTTGGAGTGAGATTAAACACGTTAAGGAACCCTAGGAAAAAAGGGATTTGTCATTTTAAAAAATAGGGAAGAAGAGTTATTAAATGGAGAGTTAGGGGTTTTGGGAAGATGGAGGGTTTTTTTTTGGGGAAATTTGTTAAATGTTGATGGGGAACTGTGATTTCATGTATAGGGAAGGAGGAATAACATTTTGTGGGAGTGAGGAAGAGCCAGTTGTGAGTGTGGGGGAAGTTCTGACAGTGGGGAAAAAATAAAAGGGGGAGGAAAGCTGGGATTGAGGGGATAAAGATAGAAATTTTTAAAGCAGGTGGGGATATGTTTTGGGTGGTTGGTGCATTGTTTTTAAAAGTTATGGAGAGGGGAAGGTCCTAGGGATTGGCAGAAAAATGATAGTTCCTTTGTATAAAAGGCAAAGGGGACAAAGAAGTGCAAAAATTATAGGGGGAAATCTGTTTAGTATACTGGAAAAATGTAGGTAGAGTTATATTTAAAAAATTTAGGTAAGACGGGGGAATAGGTAGCAGATGAACAAGGGGTTTAGGAAGGAGGGGGTGTGTGGACCAGGTGTTTAAATGAAACTAAAGTGAACATATTTAAAATAAGGCAAAAAGGTTTTTGGGCATTCATGGATTTGGAAAGGCGTATGACAGGGGGTAGGGGGGCAAGACAGATTTTTTAAGGTGTTGGTGTGGGGGTAGGTTATGAAAACAGTGAAGAGATGTAGGAAAGAGGGAGAATTTTCCCGAAAAAGTAGGCTTAGACAAGGGTGTGTGATGTCACATGGGTTTTTTAACCCTTTTTAAGGCAAAGGCCCCCTCCGAGACTCGGTCCGGGTTGGTCAAATTTAAAAAAAAAAAAAAAAAAAAAAAATTCTTATGAAAAGATAGAGAATCTTTTCCCGATCATAATGACACCAAAAATATGAAATTTGATGGAAAACTTACGGAATTATGCTCTTGCGAAGTTAGCGGTCTCGGCGATGTTTACGGATCGGCGATTTTGCCCACTTTGAGCCCCATTTTTGGCCAGTTCCACTGTACGTACTACTAGTCGACAAAAAACATGAATATTTCGCTAGAACTCCATTTTTTCTATTGAATGAGTGCAAGAAACCACCCATTTACCAATTTCAACTATCCAGTACAGTGGTCAGAATTTAGCAATTTTGCCAATTTCACACAAATTTCAAAAGATGCCAATTTCCGAATAGGGTCCAGAACAAACAAGAAATACATTCCTGGCATTAAAATGACATTTCCTCTGTTCATTAGTCACGTCTCAAGGCCCCTCTTACATTCTTTTGCTTTCCACTTTGAATTTTTATTCTCACAAAAAATAGAAGATTTACTGTTATGCAGACTACTGCATTAGTGTAAAAAATGGTATGAATCATATTGGTGCACTTGCAAAAGAATATTAGACTCACCAGTTGACGTGTATTAGATGCTCCAAACTTCAGAACACCCGTGACTTAACCTGAATCCTCATTTTTTCTTTTTCTTCTTCTTCTTCTTTTTCTTCTTCCTCTTCCCCTTTCCTCTCTCCTTTTCTCCTCTGGGTTGTCTTTCTCTCTCCTGTCTCGTGTTTCTGTTCCTTCCTTATTTTATTTCACCACTTCCCCTTTCACGCACCTCGGTGCGCTTGCTCTCCCTCTGTGGGTTTCTAGCTCTCTTGCAGTGCTCCCCTTCCTTTGTATTTGACTGGCTCGTCTTCCTTATTTCCCACTTCTACCACTACCACTACTACTACCTCTTCTTCTTCTACTACATCTACTGATGAAATTAGACACATGTGCGGCGTCTGGTTGTCTTTGTTGTGGACGTTTCGCCATCCAGTGGCTGGCTGGATGGCGAAACGTCTATGGTGGGGATGCCCGGGTGTTGTGAGTGTGTCATTTTATCCTGTCGGTATTATATACAATTCTTGTACTACTACTACTACTACTACTACCACTACTACTACATCCACCTCTTCCTGCCTATATATAGCCGTCCTGCTCCTTCTCTGTTAGTATGACTTTGTCAATGGTCCAAGTCGGACCGAAACGTCGTCGTAAGCTTCTGTCTTTTATGTGCGGGTTATTTGAGTATGCTTGGCATGATTTGTTTACTTTTGAACTTTGGTAAAAATCGAACATTTCTGCTACTTTGAGCTCAATTTCAAGGTACTTTTCATTGTAAAACCAGTCAAAATCATCTCAATTTCTATGATATGCTTTCCATTCTATAAAATGAGACCAAGAAAACTAGAATACAACAATAAATACCATATGAAAATACAGTGCAAAGTCACTGTTTTATTCCAAAAAAACGGTCAAAGTTTGTTTTTTCTCATTATGCACTGTGTGCTGCAGGATTTTTTTTATACCATGCACACTGACCACATAGACCCATTCTTTCATATGGAGGCCTACCAGCTTTCTCCCACTAGATTTGAGGGCGCTAGAATTTAGGCGTACTAGTACGTCCGAAACCCTCAAAGGCTTAATATATTTATAGATGGGGTTTGTAAGAGAAGTAAATGCGAGGGTCTTGGCAAGAGGCGTGGAGTTAAAAGATAAAGAATCACACATAAAGTGGGAGTTGTCACAGTTGCTCTTTGCTGATGACACTGTGCTCTTGGGAGATTCTGAAGAGAAGTTGCAGAGGGTGGTGGATGAATTTGGTAGGGTATGTAAAAGAATAAAATTAAAAGTGAATACAGGAAAGAGTAAGGCTATAAGGATAACAAAAAGATTAGGTGGTGGAAGATTGGATATCAG